TTTGAGGTCCCTTCCAACCCAAACCATGATTCTAAGTAGCTATAACACAAAGCTATGCTTTGGGAATGATCTCAGCTCAGCCCCCCCTTACCTGAGTGCAAAACTATGGTGATCCTCAATTATTATTTTCATCTTTCTTCAGTCCAAAAATACTGAAACAGTTTGGATTCATGGTGCTGAGGTATTTAAGGCATCTAAAAACAGGTTCTGCACTGCAGTTCTTAGAATATAACTTGGCCTCTGGATGAAACATCTAAATCTATGAGGTTAACATCCCTGGGGATGCCATGGGAAGTAGTTTGAACCCGTCATTTTGTGAACTCAGGGGAAGCCCTGGCTCAGGATATGTCCTAATAAATTTATAAAACCATAGCATTAACTTTCTGCCAGGTCCTCAGGCAAACTGTGCTCTTTTGTGCACTTTGTAGACAGGGAAGTTTGAGAGGAAGAGAGCCTAAAAGTGAAAACACAGGTATTAGGAAATCCTACTTTTATTCCACTTCTTTATTGTGAATGAGATCCATCAACTTTTAGGTCAGCATCTAAAAGTCCAACATTACATCTGCAGTGTTTGCTTCGTTTATGTCTCTACTGGTAAACTGAACAGCCTGGCCAAAAGACAAATGGCATAGGTTGACTTACATCTGCACAGCTACATGATTTTCTCTCCCAAAACACTGTTCCCACCTGTACTACTTATTAAGAGTAGTCTCTTATCTATGCTATGCCTAAAGCCATACCTAGGAGGAGGTTAAGGTGCTGGTTTGCATGAGCTGAAACCATGCCAGGAGCTTGCTAGCAGTTCAATAGTGTGGGCAGCTGGGGGATAGTATACATACAGTGATATATACCAATATATATTGATATATATTGATATCAATACCATATCAATGGTATAACGAGCATACACTGCCTGTCAGAAAGGCATGGCAGACAGCTGGCAATTTCTCCCGCATATTTTAGACACTGGTATCAGGGAGGAAATAACTATAGGTGATCCTTAGCTGGAGAGATTATATTTAAAGGCCTATATAGTAGTGTTAATATTTGGTGAGAAGAATCCTTTTCTCTGTGATGTTGATGAGGCTCATGCCTTCTCTCTGATGCCTTTTTAAAATGGAGATATTAAATTAATAAACAGGGCTGCACAAAAGGGCAGGGAGAGGGCTTTGTTAAGTGTGAAAACAGCCTATCCCGGTAGCTCCCCAGGGAACATGGTACCCACGGTGATGCGTATGGTACAGGCAATCTCCATCCAGAAGACTCAAGATTTACTAGGAAATGCACCACAATACTGTAAGGGGCCACTGAAGACTATTAGATTACTGGCATAAGTGTGAGGAGCCCATGCACCTTTCTTTGTTTGCCTTGCTAAGGGGGACTCCAAGAAAATGCAGGTCATTTTAGTACCAGAGCCAGCAGATATGATATTCAGACTGGAGAAGGTCATTTTCTCTGTTCTTGCAGGGCAAATAAACCTTAATCTGAGTCTGAAGGACCTGTGTCCTAGATGGCATCCTTCAGGCTTACCAAATTATACAAAGATGCCCAAAACACTATTGTTCTGTGGCTGTATCTGTTGTTGTTGTGTTGTTTTGGGGTAGAGTCAGAGAAGAGGTAGGTGGACAGGTGTTTTAGGCAATAACAGTACCAGAGTAGAATTATCTGTGCTGTTAAATTATTAGTGTGGTCTCTGGCATAGTTTTTGCCTAAACCAGCTATCACCTCCTGGGTGGCAGTGGCCTAAGGGTCATTCCCAATGTAACATCTAGTTAAGGCCACCTAATTTAGGAGCTGGTGTAGTTCAATATCATGGACATGATATTTCTGTGTCTCAGAAGGAGAACAGGCTCTGGCATAGCCTAAGTTATTGTCTCTCGGGGATACTGCTGCATCTCAGTGGAATTAACCCAAATGTGAGTATTTAGCCCCTGATGTTCATCAGCTGACTTGCATCTGGAGTTGAATAATGCTGTGCATTCACTCTTCTCTCAACTGGACAATGCTCTGAGTGAGAATACACAACCCAAGACTACGAGGGAGCAAAGTGACCTCGAGATCACATTGCCCTGTAACAGTCACTGAAAGGTCAGTTAGAATGAAACAAAAAGAGATACATTCAAAATTACATGGGTACTACATACAGGCAAGGAGTTCTCTACCCTTATGATAATTGTTAAGAGGATTGGAATCAGGGCTACAAGTTGTTAAGACAGCAGAGCCAAGAAAACAAACAACAAACCTTCAATATTGCCAACAAGACACAGGCTGCTGCTCTGCATTCTATTTATTTACAACAGTCTGATCTTTGAGGAGGAGAAGGATGAGAGATATTAACAGCTACTTCTCAGGCCAAAAGCTTTTTCCCTGAACTTCATCAAGCATTTGCAGAACAACCAATAGACAGAAACATTTGCAGGCTAAACCATTAATGTCTAAAACTGAGCCACAGCTTTGAAAGGTAGGAGGGGGTTATCCACATTGTGACAAAAGGTATTGCCCTTTGTGGACTCCAGTTTCTGCAAAAATATTTTGTAACAATAATGAATATGCTGTCCAATTTCCATGTTCTCATAAGACAACCTCTTGAAACCTGGATGATAGTATTGAAATGTTCAGTTTCATTATTTGATACAGTAATCAGGATAGAAGCACTACCATCCATTTCTAGAAAATGCTAGAATTGTTCAAAACAATTCATATTTTTCCAAATTTTAACCTGCTATGCAAACGCTAGAACTATTTTCAGGACTCTTCTCTCCCAGAACAGCTAACTTCTTAGCAGTTAGCTACTTTCAGAATTTTGTATGTGTTCAACTTGAATTTGTCTTTGAAGCCTGCTTCTTTCACACCTCGGAAAAAGCTTGTTTGCCCCAAAGCATGCCTTTCTTTTCTAGCTTCATTGGTAGGTCTCATAAGTTATTCAGAAATCTTGCTTAAGATCTAACTCCTATAAATCTTAGACAGCAACACTTACCTGGGTATGAAGTTTGAGAGGCATCACTGTTGTCATATTCCACAAATATCCCAAACAGAACAATGATGATCACTTCCAGAAGAAGAGCCACGATCGAGAACTTGAACCTCATGTTGGTGTCAAGGACTGAAGGCATTGCAGGAGGGCAGGCGGCTGTCAGAGCCTGATAAAGGACGCTTGCCTTCAGCGGAGCTGCCGAATTCAGTGGATCTGGGTGATACAGCAAAACAAACAACAACCAAAAAAAAGAAACAGACAGGCAAACACATTGTCACGCCCACTATGGGAGGGAAACAGTATGGGTCAATATAGCAATTTCTATTTCCCAGGCTATTTCTGTGCATGAAATGCTGGCTTACATATTTTTTTCAATATGGAACGCAAACCAGCTCATTTAGCCATAGATTTCCTTCTCACTGTCTTTTATGCATTTTTAAAAAAGGAAATAACCTAAAAGAAAATATCACAGAGCCTGGTTTGCCGCACATAGTAAGGAACACAGTGACAATGAGTTGTGTTTCCTGTAGTCAATAATTTTTTTGAATTGCAGCTTTTATTTTAAAAGGTAAATATTTTTTCACCTTATATGAAACATGGATAATCTCCTATCCCATCATATAGGATATGATAAGCAGAGAGAATCTCTTTCAGCAGACTGAAGAAGTACTTGTTCTTATTTCACAGTGAATGAAGTACTCAGAGCACAATTTCTCATCGTGAATTTTTATTTAAAAGAAAATAATTGTACTTCTTTGTAAGAAAAAAGGATATTCCTAGTTGTTAAAAAAAAAGCTGTGGATTATTAAAAAGAGGTATTTGAAAAAACAACTAATTTTTTCAATTTAATTATTCCTTTTTGCATTTCCCTTAGCTCAGACAATTCAAATAGATCAGAGACCAAGTATCTTAAATGCATTTTAAAAATCTCAGTTTGTAAACTGTCTCATGAACGAAGGAGCAAATTAAATTTCACTTAGATTACTGTTGGATGATCACTTGTTCTTGAGATTCACATTGCTTGTCAAAATGACTCCTAAAAGTTTTATGGATAAAATATTTTACTGTAGTGATACTGAGTAACTTGGCCTCTGTTAATCCAGTATTCAGAAGATAGGCCAAAATTGTATGGTAGGAGCCTTTATTTAATGAAAAATTATATCTATTAGAAAAAGGGATGATATTGCAGTAGTAGAATAAATGATCATGAAGTAGTAGTGCTAGGATACAGCAATAAAATGTCATGTCAGTACTTGGGTATAAAAATTGGCATGATCTATAGATGCTGGGAGGTGACGCTCCATTGGGCTGCTGTCCTGGTGAGACTACTGTTGGAACACTGCTCATATACTATGAGTTTTAAAGAACTGAGGGTACGTAATTTTTAGGGTCCATCTATACTGGTGTACCAGTCAGTGCCATGGCTTTTTCTCTGGTCATGAGACCAATTTACATATTTGTCAATCTTTAGCTTGCCAAGCAGGGTGGCTGATGCCAGGCACCTTTTAGGAATGGTGCCTTGTTCATGATTGATAACCCCTGGACTAAGGGGTTGACAGCAGCTTGACACTGCTGTTGTAATCTTACGGAGGGTAAAAGCCCTGGCACTGTTCAGTCTTCTAGTATACAGGTAGAGTTAGACCATTGCCTAAGTTTAAAATTATCTCAGCTTTTTCTCCTTGAAAATGGGTCTGTGGATTTGGAATGGAAAGCAAATTATTTAGCAAGAAGAACATACCAGTCTATCACAGAATCAAACTGGCAAGTGGCAAAGCTAAAATAAGCATATATGTATTTTTTCTTTGTAGTGACTGTATTTCATTTGATCAGCTCAAAGAGAGGAAGCAGAGCTTTGTTAAAAAGCCATTGCTCATCCTTGCTGTACCACAGGATAAGATGGATGGCAGCGTTTGATTGTAAGGACCTGTGAGCTCCTGTGTGTGCACAGGAAGTGATTAAAAAAGAACAAAATCACGAGTAAAGTTCCTTGGTTTTTACCCATAGCTCAGCAATGAATATCTTGTGTTATTCATTAAATAAAGTTTTCCCTAGTGATATCTCACATCCTTTCAGGGGTCCAGAAAAGGCTCCTTGTTGAAATGTTATTGGGGAAAGTGCCTGTTAATAAATGGTTAAATTTTAAAATGGGTCAAGTTCATTCAGTCAGGACTTTCTCTATATCTTAAATTGCATGCAGGTATGCATAAACATGCACACAAACACACGATTTATATTGAAAGAGTATTCACACATGTCTTAGTTGGTCATGTTATACTACTTTTGTATTTAGATGAAAATATGTGCATTTCAAGAAAATGATTAGTCTTAACTCTCTTTAACAAACAGTTGTCTTTGGAAAAGATGCATAATCTTTTAGAGAGTTTTTTCCCTTATTTGATTATAATGCAAGCCTTTGGTGAGTTGTTCAGATTTGAACATTCAAACTCTAGAAACTTGACTCAGGACCAGGCTTTTCACCCAAGATTTTCGAGGACTTGCCAAATGTGCTCGTTTTCTCTGCTGTAATTCACGTGGCCTATGCAGTGCATGAGATACAGATCTGTTACCTGAGAGTACAAACAAAAGCTGTGCTCCAGCATGTATGTGCCAGAAAGCTGATGTACCACTGTGACTGGAATACACAGTCCTTAGGAATTACATTTAGCAAACCTCACGTTGCCTTCTTAGTAGGCTAAGCTTGCCCAATGCCTAGCTTTTCCTCTTCCTGCACTCCCTTTTTCTTTATTATTTAATTATTCCCACTCCTTTAGTAGTTTTCTATTAAATACAAAAACGTATACAGATCGCTGTGGGCCCTTGATCATACCGTCTGTGGAGAAGAAATGTTTATCCTGTTAAATCATGAAAACAAGGTCTTGATCCTGCAGCCCTATATCACAGTGGAAACTTTGTGCATAGGAAAAAGTCGATAGGTCCTGCATTTTGGCCTGATATATTTCCCAGCTGAAGCAGCTGGCATGTCAATGGCTGGCTGTCATTCCCATCTTTTTTCCTGATTGTCTTGTTTCTGACACAAGCTTACCAGGTGATGGGGAACAGCCACCTGCAACATCTCATTTCAAACGCCAGCGATCTTTACGTGTCCATCCAACTGCTGCATAGGGCAGTCGAAATTGAACACACCTTGAGCTGCCGGTCTTTAGTGTCTAGGAAATTCCCTTGTGTCTCATTAACTTCAGCCCAATCATGATGGCTATAAATACAACGGAAGAAATGAGGGTGTTCTTTGATAAGTACTGTTGCACGCCTGGATCTACTAACTTCAAGAAGTATTTGTCTTTTAAATGGCCATTGTGTTTTTCACCCTACCTTCCATCTGATGGAAAAATATGGTGTTGATGAGGTAACACAGCCTTTATGTAAATAAGTGTGAAAAGTTATGGCAGACTATCAATTTTCCAGAGGAAGAGAAATAAGAGATAAAGGGTCAATTTGAGCAATATTCTTGCCTAAAGAATGAGAAAGAAGCTGCATTTAACAATCTTCTTACAGAATACCTTCAAGCGTCATTAGGAGTGACATTCACCTGACCAGACATATGCTATACATTTCTGTATCTGATCTAATAGTAATTCTTCCCTTTTAAGTCAGAAGAGGGAAATAGAAACCTCCAAGAGCAATTGTTTCAATCTTAAAGGAAGATACCTAAAATAGGTTAAATAGGCCAGGTGAATGCAAGGACCTGGCACTCAATGCCCTTCTGGTCACATTTGCTGGCTGACACAAGCTCAAATCAGCTTCAGGATGCCTCCTAGAAGAGAACTGATGTGGTCTGCTGAAGAGACTGGTGTTATTTAAAACTCTGAGTTCAGTTCACTGAAGTCAGAGCTATGAGTATTCCTCAGCCAATGATGTGGATTTATGGAACATGACTTGAGTGCACACCAATCTTTAAGCTACTTCTTGGTGTGTGCTCTTATTGTGGACATAGCTACAGAGACCAGAAAGGCAGGATAAGGTGCAACATGCCTGCACACTGTGACAAAAATATTTCTTAGATCTCCTGAACTTTGAGCTGAATAAGTTTCTTTGAGAACATCATTGACATTTATCCCATTTCTGTGGTGTCATGGTAGAAGAGTTTTTTCATTAAACATTAACTTTAATGCTTTGAGTCAGCAGACACCTCCAGTTGAAAGCTCACCTAGGTAAATGCAGTTTGTCCGTGCAGTCCCTAAATAGCATCCTTCACTTTGAAGAGGGAAGTAACAGTAAGTGTATTTTTTGACTCTTTGGATAGCATCGATGAGATTGTCTTTACTGGATCCGTATCACCCCCATCAGCCTCTTACCTGATTTCTTACAAATGCAGGGAAAATAAGGCCATTAATGCACCACTAAAAATTAATTACAGGGAGCACTAAGATGTCCATCGGAAGAAGGAGGAAACGCAATGGACAGATAGCAATCACAGCTTAATAGTTAGATGATGGTTTAGTTTGCCTCGTTATTACAGGGTGTCTTGCTGAAGTAACTGTGTTTTATTTTTCCATTTGGAATAATACAGACTTTCTTCTCTATGGAAGACCTTGCTTGATTACTATACAATGCTTTTCCTCTCTCCAGTACACAAAGAACTGATAGAGGTTAAGACTAGAAGGAATTACTCGGTCTTCTTGTTCTCCCCTCTAAATAAAATAGGCCAGAGGATTATATCCAGTTAAGCCGTGTTTGGCTAAAGTGTACCTCGTTGAAGAAGAGCATGGTGGACTTAAAAACTTCACTCTTTCATGTTCTGCTTTTATTGCATGAGCATTGCAAAGAAGGAATAAAATGCAGAAGCAGAAGCTTTTAGGTGAGGTGGATCCCAAAGTTGCAAGAAAGCTGTTTACAAGAGATAATGGGGTTCGTTCTCCCTTACACAAGGGCCAGTTTGTGCTGTTCTTGTGATAAAAAAGGGACTACCACAGGGATGATTGGTGCTTTACATACACCTTAAAGCTCTGCCTATTATCGTGAGAAAGGAATAAGAAATAGTATAAATGAGATGAATGCTTTAAGTCTCGGATGCTACTTGCAAAAGATATTAGTGATGAATCATGCATTTCTGTTGTCCTTTCTTGTGGTAATGTAAGTGTTTCTCTTGCTCCCCATCAGTCTTCTGTGCTTAATCATATCTGGGCACTTGAAGTGGCTCTTACAGAGATGCTGCTCCTGCCAGTGTGAGGTCCCTTATTCAAGTCTTGCTCTAA